AAAAAAAATTTTTTTTGGCCTATATGGAGCAACAAAAATGTTCATAGAATGCAAAAATAGTATTGTAATATATATAGTTTTAATTTCAACATAAGTACAATTTACAAATATAATACATCTTTTTTTTTTGAGACAGAGCCTCAAGCTGCTCACAGCAACCTCCATCTCCTGGGCTCAAGCTAGTCTCCTGCCTCAGGCTCCCAAGTAGCTGGAACCACTGGCTATTTTTGGTTGCAGCTGTCATTGTTGTTTGGTGGGCCTGGGCTGGATTCGAACCTGCCACCTTAGTTGTATGTGGCTGGTGCCTTAGCTGCTTGAGCCACAGGCACTGAGTCACAAATATAATACATTTTAAAAAATTATGTATGGGGCTGCGCCTGTGGCTCAGAGGAGTACGGCGCTGGTCTACCTGGGCGACCTTGCCTAGGAGGGGAATAGGGAGTTTACAATAGCCTTTTCATTTCCAAATGAAGTGACATTAACTTCTTCATTTCCAAATAGAGTTACATTAACCTTTTCAGCAGCAGAAAACCGTATATTCCCTTCCTGTTGTCCTGCCATACCCTAGCTTGTCGTGCATTCTTTCCAAAAATCAGGACTTTTTTAAAACTCCGCGGGATGCGGGACAAATTGTTAGAAATCAGGACTGTCCCGCCAAAAGCTGGACATCTGGTCACCTTAGGGTTGGACAGAAAATATTAATAAGTAAGACAAATAGGTTAAAGTACATGGAATTTCTTTTTCTTTCTTTTTTTTCTTTTTTTTTTGAGATAGACTCTCACTATGTCTCCCTGGGTAGAGTACTGTGGTCACAGCTCACAGCAACCTCCAACTCGTGGGCTTAAGCGATTCTCTTGCCTCAGCCTCCCAAGTAGCTGGGACTTCAGTTGCCTGCCACAACACCCAGCTATTTTCTTTTTTTTAATTTATTTTTGCAGTTTTTGGCCAGGGCTGGGTTTGAACCCACCACCTCCGGCATATGGGGCTGGTGCCCTACTCCTTTGAGCCACAGGCACCACCCCCAGCTATTTTCTTGTTACAGTTGTCCCTGTTGTTTAGCTGCCCAGGCCGGCCTCAGTGCGTGTGGCTGGCACAGTAACCACTGTGTTACAGGCCCCAAGCCAAGTACATAGAATATTGATTGTTGTAAGTCCTAAGTAGGTAAGATAAAACCAGATGGGAGATAGAAAGTATTGGGAGGTGGGGACAACATTTTCAGTAGCCTGGTCAGGTGGTGCCTCCCTGAGAGGGTGACATTTGACAAAAGTTCTCAGGGAAGTAAGGGAGTGAGCTCTGCAGATATCCAAGGGCATTCCAGGGAGAGAAAACAAGCACAGTGGCTGGAAACAGGAGCAGGTGACACCTGCAAGGAGCAACAAGGTGGTCAAGGGCCCAGACCAGATTTAGAGAAAGAAAAGTAATACCAGAGGAGTCACAGGGTGCCAGAGCACATCCAAGGCCTTGTTGTGCTCAGCAAGGAACTTGGATTTTACTCTGAGTCAGATGGAAAGCCACTGGTGGAGTCAAAGACAATTTTGGTATGAAGTCACTGTTTATTATTATTATTATTATTTATTGTTTGGGATTCACTTAGGATACAAAGAATTAGGATTACAAAGAATTAGGTTACACTGATTGCATTCGTTAGATAAAGTCCCACTTATAATTATGTCCTGCCCCCAAGAGGTGTGCCATACACTGTGACCCAGCACCCCCTCCTCCTCCCCCTCCCCACTTGCTCATTCCCCTGCCTCCCCTTGTGTTAGCTAATCTACTGCCTTCATATTATGATCGAGTACATTGGATTCCTGCTTCTCCATTCTTGTGATGCTTTACTAAGAATAATGTGTTCTACCTCCATCCAGGTTAATACAAAAGATATAAAGTCTCCATCATTTTTGGTGGTTGAATAGTATTCCATGGTATACATATACCACAGCTTTTTAATCCCTTCCTGGGTTGGTGGGCATTTAGCTGTTCCCACATTTTGGCAATTGTAAATTGAGCTGCAGTAAACAGTCTAATGCAAGTGTCCTTATGATAAAAGGATTTTTTTTCTTCTGGGTAGATGCCCAGTAATGGGATTACAGGATCAAATGGGAGGTCTAGTTTAAGTTATTTGAGGGTTCTCCACACTTCCTTCCAAAAAGGTTGTATTAGTTTGCCATCCCTCCAGCAGTGTAAAAGTGTTCCCTTCTCTCCACATCCACGCCAGCATCTGCAGCTTTGAGACTCTGTGATGTGGGCCATTCTCACTAGGGTTAGGTGATACCTGAGGGTAGTTTCGATTTTCATTTCTCTGATGATAAGGGACAATGAGCATTTTTTCATATGTTTGTTAGTCATTCTTCTGGCTAGAGAAGGTTTTATTCATCTCTCTTGTCCAGTGATATAGGGGATTTTTTGTTAATTAATTTAAGTTCTCTATAGATCCTAGTAATCAAGTTTTTGTCCGATTCATAATACACAAATATCTTTTCCCATTCTGAAGGTTGCCTGTTTGCTTTGGTGGTTGTTTCCTTAGCTGTACAGAAGCTTTTCAGTTTATTAAGTCCCATTTGTTTATCTTTGTTATTGTTGTTGCAAAAAAACCCCAAATTTCAACAAGTCACTACATTTTAACAAGGTCACTCTGGCAGCTATTTTGATAATTCTCTGAAGCAATCAATAACATCAAGAGGAAAACCAGTGAGAGAGCTATCTGTAATTTGGGTGAGAGAGAAGGGCTTGGACCAGGTGGTAGTGGTGGCAGGTGGTCAAATGCTGGATATGTTTTGAAGATACAACCCACAGGATTTTCTCTACATTAAATGCAGAATGTAGGAAGGAAGAAAAAGTATGCCTGCAACACATTTTTGGATGTGTATTTATTTTTTAAAAGTAGTTAAGTATATGATAAGACACCACTAGAGGAAGGGTATTCTTTTATCATTGTTTCAAATCTTCTGCTTGAAAATTTTCACAGGAAAAGCTTGTGGGAATATTGTTCCATAAACGATTCTTTTTTTTTTTTTTTTGCAGTTTTTTTTTGGCCAGGGCTGGGTTTGAACCCACCACCTCTGGCATATGGGGCCGGTACCCTACTCCTTTGAGCCACAGGTACCACCCTTTTTTTTTTTGTTGAGTCGGAGCCTCAAGCTATCCCCCTGGGTAGAGTGCCATGGCATCATGCTCACAGCAACCTCCAACTCCTGGGCTCAAGCGAGTCTCCTGCCTCAGCCTCCCAAGTAGCTGGGACCACAGGCACCCGTCACAACGCCTGGCCATTTTTTGGTTGCAGCCATCATTGTTTGTTGGGGTGGTGGTGTGGATTCGAACCCGCCACCTTAGGTGTATGTGGCTGGCACCTTAGCCTCTTGAACCACAGGCACCGAGCCTCCATAAACGATTCTTAAACAACAGTCCAGTTTTTTCCATTTTAATTGACTATGATGTTATTTTTTTTTAAATAATAGATTCTCAGCAAATATGTCCTCAGCAACCTAAACAAGGACCAAGTCTGTTCTGCCTACAACTTTATTTCCTCATAGCTTCAGTCTAGGCTATAATGCTTACAAATTCTCATGAAAATGCAGAGAATCTAAGGATTCCAGAACAACCAGGAGAGCTGATGGTGCAGTCCTAGTTGAAGGCTCTGAGGCTCCAGACCCAGAAAAAGATGATATTTCAGTTTGGTTCTGCAGGCAGGAAAAACTATGATGTATTAGCTCAAAGGCAGTTAAGAGCAGTTCCCTCTTACTCTGTCTTTCTATTCTATTCAGGCCTTCAACTGATTACATGAGGTCCACTCACATTATGGAGGGCCATCTGCTTTACTCAGTCTATCAATTTAAATGTAAAATTCATCCAAAACACCCAGAATCATGTTTGATCAAATATCTGGCACAATCAAGTTGACCCATAACATGAACCACCATACTGGTCCAAATGCAAAGTAGAGCCCAAACCCAGGCTTCAGAGCTCAGACCAGGGTCCCCTTCTAAAGGGCTCCTGGGGGTGGGTGATGAGTCTGGTGGTCATATCTAGACTCTCCTTTGCAGCCACCTTCTTTCTTCCTGAAGTGCAACACTTAAAAGTATTGGTCTGAAGCCTGGGTTCAAATCTCTCTACCACATATGAGATATACAAACTTTAGTTATGTTATTTAACTTGTCTGTGCCTCAGTTTCTTCACCCGTAAAATGGAAATAAAAATAGTCTCTACTTCAGGGGATTATTGTGAAGAGTAAATAAGTTTACATAAAACACTTTCTTTGAACAATGTCTGGTACATGGTAATTGCCCAATCAATGTCTAAAAACCAGCTGAAATCATCACAAATTGTGGGATGTAGAAACCAAAAGCTGATTGATCGCACACAACAAAGATCATTAGCTACTATTAATTTTTTTTTAATATCTGCTACTTTTGTCACTCTCAGGCAGTTTTCCACCCAGCCCTGACACTGACCTTAGATGAGATAAATCTCTGTAATATGACCTTGGGTCTGAAACCCTGTTCTGCTCTGCAGAACTAAGCCAGAAGCCATTCACTCTCACAGAGGGACTCAAAGATGGCCCAGAAAGCCATTCCTTTACACTTCAGGAAAACAGAGATAAACAGTGGGTCCACCCTTGGGAAGTCAGTGAAATATCAACATAGATCATTCCCTCTGGAGCTCTGGGACTGCAAAGAAACCTGGAATTCCCAAAGGATCACTCAAGACAGAATATCCCCACAGTTTTTAATCAAGACAACAGGACCGTCTATACCTTCCAAACTCTCAAGTGAAGAAAAGACATTAAACCTTTGGATTTTAACTACACCAACCTGAGGGCAGCATACCGTCATGGCTCATAAAAAACCATTTCAGACAGAAAAGGAAGTTTGGTAAATTCGGACCTGAGAAACGAAACTAAAACCAAATCTGCATTCTTCCTTCCCCCCACCTCCCAGTGGTCAGGCACACCCTGTTTTTGAGCCAATTAGAGCTGGTGTTGAGGCAGAAAAAGAATAAGCAGACTTGCATTAAAGCCATAATAAAGAAGCGTTCTTCTCTAGCATCGTGGAAGAAGGAAACACAGATGATCAGAGGTTTTCTGTATCAAAAGAGATGATTTTCTCCACATTTATGTAAAAGAAATTTGCAAGACAATCCGGTAAGTACACTATCAATTAATATTGTTATTACTATCTATAGCAGCTTTTTATTGCATAGGAAGAAATCTACTTTTCAACTCAAGAAAATTGAAATAGACCTAGAAAGAAAAAAATATATAATGTTCTAATCCTAGAAATTCTACACTCTTTATTGCTATGATGGGAGTCTGCTTTATATTAGCTAAAAAATGAGTCATAATAATTGCATAAAAGATGTAATTGAAAACGAAAGACACTGTCATCGGTGAAATCATCCAAGGTATAACAGAACCCGCAGAAAGAACAAACAATGAAACCTTCAAAGTACTGTACTTTACATTAATCTTGAAGATACCTTCTACGATCTTCTCTAAGTAACAGGCGGCTTCCAGAAAACAAAACTCTGTGTCAAGTGATATGCATAGAGAGACAGACAGACAGACAGACTACTGCAGGAAGTGCTTGGAATTACGGCAGTCTTATGCACCTGGCAAAATGCCTAGATTTATATCTAGTTCCTGATGCCAGCATTCAGCTATATACCAAAGGGCTTGGCCTCGGAAATTCTAAGAATGAACCCCTGGACCATACAGATCAACAACAGGACAGAATTTATCCACAGACAAAGGAATAGAGAAGGAAAGTCAGGCAACAGAACCTCTGGCAGCAGAGGTGGGGAACCCAAGTGGGAAGCCCCTGTGGATCTTTTGTCTAGGGATCACATACTGCCTGTAAGCAGGGGGTCTTGGAATGCATTGTCCTACTCAGCTGCCCAGCAGACAGACAGAAAGTATCCTGCCCATGTCGATTAGCAAATGAATGTCCCAAGTGAGGCAGCAGGTGTACGTTCTTCACTCCAGGAGGGGCTGCCCAGATCAGATACCAGTCAGGCTGCTTTCCTCTGATATTGCTTGAGTCCAAATGCAGTCTAGAAAGGCCTGTTTGCCCAGGCCTAGAAAATAGGAGTCCCTGTTCAGCTGGGAAGATGTGAACCCTGTGCCATTTCTACTCCCAAAGCCAACGAGAATGCAAGAGGGTAGGAGGGGACTACCCCCTAGTCTGTCTGTAACCATTTCTGAATAAAGTCCTAATCTTCAATTCTTGCTAATTAACCATACTGTTAAGCCCCCAGTTAATAAATGTATATGGGTTTAATCATGTAACAAATTGTGTTTCGTTTTTAAACTTGTTGCTAAGAAGCTCAAAATCAATTAGGACACTTTTTAAAGTATACAGAATTGGGCTCGACACATCCATAGCACAGTGGCTATGGCGCCGGCCACATGCACTGAGGCTGGCAGGTTTGAATTCACCCCAGCCCAGCTAAACAACAATGACAACTGCAACAACAACAAAAAAAGCCAGGCATTGTGTCATGCGCCTGTAGTCCCAGCTACTTGGGAGGCTGAGGCAAGAGAATTGCTTAAGCCCAAGAGTTTGAGGTTGCCTTGAGCTGTGATGCCACAGCACTCTATCGAGGGTGACAAAGTGAAAATAAATACATAATAAAGCATGCAGAATTGAAAACAGCTATTTTAGACACTGAATTTGCTCCATTGTTTCACTTTTGGGGGGTATCCCTATCTAGCCTTCCCCCGATTTCTTTACCTAAGAATTTTAATATATGTGTGAGCCTGTTTTACTTCATAAATTATCTAAAAACTATTTTGAAACGAGAGTATAAAGAAATTATTTCTATGTAAAATACCTATGAATGGTGGCATAAATGGAAAAAACTCATTCCTCCAATGTATATTCTCCAAGACTGATATCTGTAACAATTTTTTTTTTTTTTTTT